CTCTTTACTTGAAGTGTAGTTGACGCACACAGTGTTATATTAGTTTCAGGTGTACAACATAGTGGACAATTCCATACGTTAGGCATTGCTCAGCACGATGTTACCATCCGTCACCATACAAAGTTATTACAATGTGGTTGACTAGTTTCCCGATGGTGTACTTCGCATGCCCGTTATTATTTTATAACTGGAAGTATGTGCCTCTTAATCTCCTTCACCTGTTTCGCCCATCCCCCCATCCTTCTCCCTTCTGGCGACCACCAGTTCTATGAGTCTGTTTTGTTCTTTTGTTTTTTAGATACCATGTATAAGTGAAATCATATGGCGTTTGTCTTTTGCAGTCTGACTTATTTCACTTAGCATAATCCATGTTGTCACCAATGGCAAGGAAATATTTCTGTATCTCTGATACTTAAAGACAGCGTTGTTAACATGAGATATTATCCTTCTCCCTTTTCCTGTGCCTGTGTATACATAAGTATTTTTGTTTCACCACAAGAAAAAAAAAGCAAAGAGAGACACCATGTCTTTGTTCTTCAGGGTTTCTTAATTGTCTAGATGTTCATGTATATTTCATATATACCTTGAATTTGTGTGGATGGGGGAGGGTGAGCTGCCCTGCTAGTGGCAGATTTGGGCTGATTTATGTAGTTTCTCCTGTAACAGGATACAGGGAATTGCAAGTGGGCTGGCTATTGATAATTGCAGGGCAGTTCTTTCATAAGACCCATAAAATAATGAGAGCAATGCCTCATTATTATGTAATTATACCTTACAATAAATGAGAGCATATAACCTTATAATCTATATACATGAGGGGCCATTTTGTTTAAGCAACATAAAGAAGTCTCTGTCAATACAGTGTATCTCATCCCTCTTTCAGCTCTTTCCATTATTGTCCACTTTCCATCTGTCAGGTAATATTTTATGATGCTAACTATAACACCTGCGATGGACTGATTTCATAGAAGCAAATTTCCCCTACCCATGCAAATAGAAGACAGCAATGGGGGCTCAGGAAGAGTGATGCCTGGAAGAGGCAGGTGGCATTGAAAAGAAAAAAACTGAAGGAACAGCAGCTCTGTGTATAGATAATCTAGGAAAAAAGAGATGGAGAAGTGTCTTATTATTTTTGTAGAGTGTCACCTATTTTTATATTTCCTTGCATTCTAAAAATATTTAGATACAACATTCTAGACAGTTGGCTCTATCCTTGTTTTGCTGTTGGTATCTTTCTCATTTCCCTTATTAAGAGACATGAACAAATCAAAGGGTCTAGAAAAAGAAACAGTTTTAATTACTTGGCATTAATGATGGATGGAGATTTTATGAGAATTATACTGATTTCTATTTTTCAGATATCCTTTCTCTGTTATGAATTTGTTTGGCCTAAATCTTAGGATTTTCTGTAAGGTATCAAGCATAAACTATTGAATAAAATTGGTATAAGATCTACATGTCTAGATGAGTCTTTTACTGCCAAGTATCTTAAATTTTTATGTTTAAATTCTTATGCTATGTTTTTTTTGAGAATTGAAGAATTTCATCTAAAAGCAAAAAAAAAAGTTGTTAGGATCTAGAGATCAGTTTCCAGACTTGTTCTAGCACTTTTTCCTATGATGATTTATATTATAAAACATTGTTTTTAATATTTCTGATGTGTAGTTTTAAAATCTAAACATCAGTGTTTGAGTAGTGTTTTTTCTGTCATCTTCTGTACTTGTATCTTTGCTAGTTTTCTGCTCAAAATCATAACTATGTGGTCTGTGTTAAATAAGTAGAATAGACCAAAGTATGCTAATTTTTAAAAGCAATTAAAAGACAGTCTTTAATTAGACAGAGCATTGCTATTTTTATCGGCTGAATAAAATTAACATATACTTAATAAAGTTCTAATATTTTCATAAATATATTTTGCAAGGATTTTTTTATATTTTATCTTTTATTTCCCTTCACAATTCTAATGTCTAATTCTAATGTCTTTCTTAGTGGCTGCATTTTACTCTCAACTTAGAAGTGAGGATTTAACTTGAATTTTATGTTGTGCCTTTTAGCATTTATTGCTTGGCTAAACTATTCCTTGTGAAATAACTAACATGGTTTAAGAAAAAGCTACTACTTTTTGTTCAGTTATTAAGTAATCAGATATTTTAAATATCAAATTCTTGTTCTTTTCTAGAAGACTCTATAGGTTCATTCATTCATTCATTTATACTAGAATATTACATTAAGGATCGAGGCCATTCCTAACTGTAGTTCTCAAACTGTATAGTGATGTCTCTAGAAAAGTTCCATTGGTAACTGATTAGTAGGAGCCCAATAATACTGTTTTAACATTTTTAAAGCAGTGTTTCCTTTATTAAACGTGATTTTTAGTAATCTTACTCAAATCGTTTTTGGTAAAAACAGTTCTTAAAAGCTGCCTCATTTAAGTTACTGTGCCATCAGTCACGGCTGTCTGGTTGGCCGCCTACGCTTTCTCGAATCCTCCTAGCCCTCTGTTTTCATAGTCTCAGATCTGGTTCATGTCCCTTTTCATCTCTTGCCCAGACTATTACAACTTCTGTTTATCATCTACCCTCATTATTGTCTATGTTTCAGCGCATCCTGCTTACTGCTTCCCCTGAGAGAACCCCCCCCAAGGCACAAATCCAATCATGTCACTCTCCTGCAAAAAAAAAAAAAAAAAAAGGCTGGGCTCTACATTCCCAGCACTGCTTCTCAAACTCTTCCTCAAATGGCCCTCAACATGTCTCCTTTCCTCAAATTGTAAGGAATAGTGAAGCTCAGTTAGCCTACCCCAAGAATGAAATTGCTTTGAAGATTCATGTTCTCACTGAAAAATTCATATTAATTTTATGTTCTACTAGTAAACTTGGATTTAATGTGAACACAGTGACTTAAACTTGTTTCACTGTCCTCCAATTTTTTTTTCATAAACTTGACACTTATGGAAGATGCACATATTTATCCTCTGATTTTCCATACCATGGAGTGCTCAGACCTTGGTTTGAAAGCACAACGTAATAGGTTAGAAATCTAAGACTCTAGGCTTTTTGTGACTTGGCCCCTGCCTATATTGCAGTCTCATTTCTTCTTAGTCCTACATTGGATTCTACTCTAGTTTTCTCAAGCTACTTAGACTCCCAAGTACTTCAGGCCACTGTGATTTGGATATTTATAGTAATGTCTTTGAATGTTTATGTTTTGGAATGTAATTGTAGTAATTTATCATGAATAACATTTGTAATAATTATAATTACATGAATAATAATGTTGAGAACACTGGTTCTTATTCAGAATAGCCATTGTGAATGTGTGTGTGTGAATAGTCTTTTGCAGCTCTGAACTTAGAATTTTGATTTAAGGTAATGTCCTAATACGTGTTTTTTATTGCCCTTCCTATACATTGTTTATATTTGTTGGTTAGCCTGGTTCTATTTCAAAGAACTGTTAATTCTGGGGTTTCATAATGGAGAAGACAGTGGCATTTACTCCCTATGTTGTTTGAATTCACTTTGTTTCCTAACATGTTGGGTATGTGTACATGTGTTTTGTTCTTGTTGTGTTGATTTTAGAATCTGAATGCGATTTTCTTGTGTAATTGAGAGAAAATGTGAAGTGCTTAGGGCTAACAGCCAGGATCCGTAATAGAAGAAACATTCTATTGTCTCACTCTGGGCATTATTAGCTTTCATTTCAAAGTACTCTATTATAATGGTTAATTGAGAAGCTTGATGGTTAATTCACAGAGGTCTGTGTGAAAGCGTAGTATTATTTACTAAGTACTTTTTAGAATAACAAACCACCTAATGTAGAAAACTCCAGTTGATTTTCTTTTTAAAAGCTACTTATTCCGGGCGCCTGGGTGGCTCAGTTGGTTAAGCAACTGCCATCGGCTCAGGTCATGATCCTGGAGTCCCGGG